TTATTCAATTCCGTTATTGACTAACGCGATTAAAGTCGGTGATTATATACGAGGATAGGCGATATATATATATTTCAACAACAATCATCATTACGATCTCATTGGAGTCAGATTTCGGGCTACTAACGTGGAAAGCCCTTTCGACAACATCGTTCGATTTAAATGATAATTAAATAATGGGCCTCCACAGATTCATGAGCAATAGAAACTCTAAGTATGTTAAATCTTCAATTAAAAACATTAAAATACCAAGTAAATAATGAGAAGTATTTTAATTGTTCTGACACATAACTATTACAAGAGGTGGATGTGGATATGATAGTAATTTTAATAGTTGAGATCATGAGTCAACTGAAGCTAGATCACCGTGGAAAACCTGGAAGCATTGGACGGCTGTGCCGTCCTATTGTGAGACTCCTCAGTAGTGAGCATCCATGATCCCGCCTCGCGACATTCAAACCCAGGACCTATTAGTCTCACACGCACGAGCCCTTAACCACCACACCACTGAAATATCACACATAAAATATCGAATTAAAGTGCACTGCAATTTATAAACCTCAATAAATGTACAAATACAACGTTTTTGTTTAAAAACATAAATGGTTAAACTATTGAAATTAATTGCTGACCACTCTGAGTATTAGTAGAAAACATAATTAGTATTTTGATAGAGTTTTGTTCTCTGAGCTGGATAGTTTGATTGTGGATCTTTCATCGTTCTTCTGAATGTTATCATCAACATAAACTTCAAGTAAAAGTCAAATGTTCGAATTTCTCCAAATATGATTCACAGCTTCTCTTGTAGACCTCGATGTTGATTGATTCTTATTAACCTTAAACCTGTTATTGTTTACTTCTTTGTTTTTGTTGTATCCTCCATTGATTTTATTTTTGGTCCTATGTTTGTCCATAATTTTCCTGATTGTTCGATAAATTGGATCGATTTCAATGTGCTTGTTCATCACTGATGGAATTGAGGGCCAAGCTTCTAAAAATTCTCTGCTGTTTTCAGAATTGCTTCTATCTAAAATTTTTACATATTCCCAGTTCAATGTGTGTCTGCATTTGTCCAAATGTATTGATATAAGTGAGGATATTTCATGGCGTCTGACCGCTAATTAATGTCCTGAAAAACCCTTCTCACTTGTTTCCAGTTGCTATTCAACCTTTCCATGTCTGTTTCCAATTTTCAATACAATGTTTTCTTTGGTCATCCGCTTTTTCGCTTCCTTTCAGGATTCCAAGTTAGGGCTTGCCTCGTGATGCAGTTCTTTGATTTTCTCATTGTGTATCCTATCCACTCCCAGCATCTTTCCCTAATTTCTTCTTCAACTGAAATCTGGTTTCTTCACTCTGTTGATAGACTGTTGTTGATGGTATCCGGCTAACGGATATTTAGTATCATGCGACAACTTTTGGTAAATACCTGTACCTTTATGATGATGGTTATGGTAGTAGTTCTCCATGTTTCAGCTCCGTACAATAGAACTTTCCTGATGTTTGTACTGAATATTCCATATGTTCTTCACTTGTAGGAATGCAGCCATTACTTTGCCAAAACCTCGTATATTATAAATTGATTTCTTCAAATAAAAACTTATTTTGTTATAGAATTGATTTAAACAATACGTTTCATATTTTTGAATAAGAACAACATTATTACACTTTAATTAAAACACACACACATAGTGATTACATAACAATAACACTAACAACATAAAAACTAATTAAATTTTATCAGTCACAAACCATAAATTTTTTCAAAATGAAAAAGCAAAATAGAACAGAGGAAATATTTTAATGGTTGAATTCATCAGTCGATTTAAGCCAGAACACCCTGGAAAGGCTGAAAGCACTGGGTGGCCATTTTGTCTTAATATGGGACTCTTCAGTACTGTGCATCCACGGTCCCACACGCGGAAATCGAACTCAAGACCTCCGGTATACCCCGCGCGAACGTTTAGCCTGTAAATTAAACCAATCCACGATAATCTACAACCTTCCATCATTATGTTCAGTGAGTAACTGACTCACAACAGACACAGTTTAACCTCACTGGTCTAAAGGCCAAACCGGAGGTCCTAAGTTTGAATCTCGCGTGTGGGATCGTGGATGCCCACTACTGAAGAGCCAAATATCAGGACGAAATGGCCGCCCCCAAATGCCCTGGTACACTCAAGAGTGGGGAGTCAGCTCTCCCTCTCCAAATACTCTCACATGGACAAGTGCATACAACCACTATCAGGGAAGTCCTACTCACTGCCTTCTCGCACCACGGAGGTTGTTTACGAACTCAAGAGGACGAAAAACGAATGTCCGGCGAGTTGACCGGGTTGGTGGACACGGAGAGACCACCTAGGGGAGCTGTAAAACCCTGATTCCGAACCAGTGGTGCACATGGGCTCCAATATCCTGAAGGAACAAATGGCCCCTGAACCCATCGTCGATCACCGGCTACCATTGGACTTTACCTCCTTATGATGCTCTACTGCCTTGTGGATCAGACCTTTAGGCCGAATACTCCGTGTGTGGCCTCCTAAGAAAATCACCTGCTTCGGTTTGGGCACTCGGATACTATCACAGCCCTCACACACATCAAATGAGATCTGTGTGGCGTATATGTATTTGGTGCCTCCTTATACCAAAACCTATGCTTTAAAATAAAAATAAACGAAATGGCCGCCCGGTGCTTCCAAGGTGGTCTAACTTGAATTGACTCATTGGATATTACTCTAGTTATCTAGCACATTCAATATGTCTGCTGAATGATCAAGGGTCAAACATCCAAATGTGACATTAACTAGTTAGCTGTAGATAACTCGATCTTACATGATACACCCTGTTCGAATAGCTCAATGATAACGTGTCACAATATGAAACTAAGTGATACAGGTTCATAATCCTAAAGAAGACAGCCTAAAATCTAATTTGTTAATATAAACATTTACAGTATAACAATGAGCTGAAATGAATTCACACAGTATCATAATAATACTATTATTATTTTATTATTTATTTAAACACATAAACATTGGTAAAAGGAGCACCGAATATATATGCGCCACATAAATCATTCGATTTGTGTGAGGGCTATGATACTATTCGGGTGCCCAAATCTAATTAGGTGCTTTTCTTAGGGATCCACACCCCGAGCCTTTGACCTAAAGGTCCGATCCACAAAGTAGTGGAGCGTCGTGAGGAGATGCAGTCCCATGGTAGCCGGTGATCAACGATTGGTTCATACACCATTTGTTCCTTCAGGATACTGGAGCCAACGTACACCATCAGTTTGGGATCCGGTTAAAGCACCGGACATTCGTTTTTCGTCCTCTCAATTTCGTAAACAACACCCCCACCATGAGAAGGCAGTGAGTAGGACTTCCCTGACAGAGGCTGTATATGCGTGACCGTGTGAGAGCATTTCGAGAAGGAGGGCAGGCCCACCCCACTCTCGACCATACCAGGGCATTTGGGGGAAAACATTACAGTTGTTGATATTTCATAATTATATGAGAGATTTTAATATGAAATTAGGTTTCATGTAGTCTGTCATATTCATATGATTTCATTGCTGTAAAACCTAATTAAATACCACATACTGTAATGAATGAGAACACAAATAAGGACAATCAATGTATTTTAATATATAAAATCATTGAATCACTTGTATAGTAACTAACGCACAACCAATTTTGATTATGGTTGAATGTTGGTTAAGCTCTTTTATTACCTTAACAGACAATGCTATTTGATGAATAGTAACATATTGTATATTTTTTCGTACTATTATGATCACTATCTATTTTGTATAAACGTGTACGCTTGATCACATGACAGACTCTAACTTAAATGTTGATCGTTTAAATATCACTCAATGATTCATTCTCTTATCCAATGTATATATGTACTTCAGTCCAATTTTTAGCCTTTTGTTTTGCTTTGCTGTGTCCTTATGTAACTTAACTATAAATTTGCTTCTGTATTTGCTCTCACATACACACACACACTCGCCTCCTCACTTCAAAATTCGCTAGATGTGCTTATACCTTTCTGACTTGTACTATCCGCTAATCAATTGCGGTTGCCGCTTCTTATTGCCTTCTAATTTCAAACACCGTTAGGATCTTTATAATAACGAAGGTAAGCCACTACAACAGGCTTAAGTAACCGAGACCATAAGCAATATATAACTGGAAATCAAATGACAGATGGATTGTTGATGATCAGTCCGGACAAGTGTTGTGAACGAGAACACAGATGGGGACAACCAATGTATTTCGATATGTAATTACAAAATGTCTAGGTAAAATATGAGAATCATACATTGAATACTTCATTTGCTAATCTCCATCATTTTTCCTTTACACCCTATATGATTCTTCCTATTCAAATTCCTTTTTATTATCTTCAACTTGATCTCACAGCCTTCTACCTGCCATACATTCCTCTTGTGATTGGTGTTACATACTTCTTATATCTGCTGGCATCAGTTATTTACAATCAATTAAAGTAGTTTCCAGACTTCTGTATTTGTACTGTTTTGAACATTCAATAAGTAATTATTTCAATTTCTTTTTAGAACATAATAGTCAAAGGATATTAGACAAAAAACTAATATGATTAATGTTGCGGCGTGACTATAATTAATGAGCGAACCAATCACGTATAAGATAGCAGGTCTTGGATTTTAGCACGAAATTCATTCGCCCATTTGGATAAATTGAGTTTTGGCATTAAAGCTAATGTCAGTTCGTGATGGAAACCCTAAATTTAATTCCTAACCTTATTCACCAACTCTATAAATCATCATTCTAATTCCTTACACTGCTTTATAACCGTCATTTGGTTGTGGTTATTAAGTGGATACTCACAAGATCACTACAGTGTCACTCAAAGGTCATTCATAAATTATAGTCTTACCGATGTTGCTTGTCAAAATACATGCAAACTTCCAAATTCTGATCTAATTTCACTTTATCAATTAGAAACTAAATTTTAAAATAAATCACCACAATTACCGAAATTTTATAAACATAAAGTAGTTATTTCCATTGGTTACAAAATAAACACGTATTACTCATATTATATGAGCACAATAATCGTGCCAGTTAAATCTAACAGATCCTAATACCCACATATATATGGATATATTTGAAACTAAACTCAGGCTTCAAAGAAAATAGTTCACATTACATCAAAAAATGATGGAAAAAAGAACGATTGTTAATAAATTATAGCCATATTAGTATTGTATTACAATAAGATTTTATTGCTTGCTTCAAGTAATCATCTGAAAAACTTTCATGACTATAGAAGAAAAAAAGATAACAGAATAGAATACAGTCGATACTGAAAGAATCAAAAAACAAGCAATTCAAAAGAATAAACATATTGAACAGTTAGAAATAGCCAAAGATAGATCATTTGACTCCGAAGGACAATATATATAATCCTTTTTGTCTGTGAAGCGATTTAGCTTTTGTTATGACAAAACAATTTAGAATAAATTGAATTACACATTGAATTAGATTACTAAGTAATACCAAACAAAATAGAAGACAGTTAGTTGAAGTAAACTCGGCACATTTCATTAAAAAAGAGCATATATGATTTACAAACAAAACTGACAATAGATGTGAATAAATATTTAGAGAACAAACAAGAGTGACATTTCAAAATCTGAAACTTCACAGGAATACCAGTATTACAAATAAATTTATTAAAATACATTTTACTACTTATTTTAAATCAGTAGCATCTTTAGATTAGTTGAAAAAGCATAAATAGAAATATCTGCTTAAACCTTTTATTGAAGACAATGAGAGATGAGAAAAAAACTAAGGAAACTTTACAAGAAGCAATTAACAAATTAACAGATAACTGTATAAAAGTTTATCACAAAGCTTTTTTTGTCTGTTTCCATTTTTTTCCTAGATTCAGTGTAAATTTTGCCAAAGGGAAGTATCATTCATCTTCTTTTTTCACATGTCAAACAATCCATCATCAATCAGAGGGAAATGACAAATACTTTTACATAATAAAATTTATATTATTATCATTATCACGGGGAGAACATCTATCCTCTTAAATGTTCAATTGAGAATAAAGAAAAATAACATGGAAATGTGTGGTGGTGGTGGTAGTGGTGATAGTGGTAGTAGTAGTAATAATAATAATAATAATGTCAACCACATGGTAATTCTAATTTCCCAGATTCTAGAATCGATTCACCATCTAATATAAAGGACAGTTGAAATTTCAATACAAATTTTTCCTATAAAAATAAGTAAGAAAGAAAAAAGAAGAATAGAATTGAATGAATCATTTATATACAGGACAAAATGTCAATAACAGACAAATGATAACTTGAAATACTTTGCTTATAGAAAACAGTCCAAAAAAATATCTGGAATCTTTTTATTATTATTTCAGTTTAAACACATAAATATTAGTACAAAGGAGCACCGAATACATATGCGCCACGCAAGTCACTTGATTTGTGTATTGGCTGTGATACAGCCCATATGCCCAGACCGAGGCAGGTGGTTTACTTATGGGAGCCACACTCGGAGTCTTCGACCTAAAGGTCTGATCCACAAGGCAGTGAAGCATCGTAAGGAGATGCAGTCCCATGGTAGCCGGTGACCGACGATTGGTTCATACACCATTTATTTCTTCAGAAAACTGGAGCCCATGTGCACCAAAGGTCTGGAATCAAGTTTTTCTAACTTCACTAGGCAGACCCTCCGTACCCATCACCGGTTAAAGCAACGGACATTCGCTTTTCCATCTCTCAATTTCGTAAACAGTAATGCCACGAGAAGGTAATGAGTAGGACTGCCCTGGCAGTGGTTGTATGCATGTGGCCATGTGAGAGCATTTCAAGAGGGAGAGCTGACTCTCCCTGCTCTAGGCCGTACCAGGGCATTTAGGGGCAAAGTGTGGCAACTGTCTGTTGCAGTGTAGAAGTTTCGGAATTATAGAGAAAGAAAAAAGCATATTGTACAACTAATTAATCGATGTGAAGAATTACAGTTGAAAGTATTGTATATAGTTGTCTAATTTATCTAGTTGACGTAGATCCCATTTCATATTATAAGGATCATCCAAACATTCGTAATTCATAATTACCGTAAGCACATAAGCCAAAAATGGTATTTTATACAGTAGGATTATTTAGCGCCGGTTGACAGACAACCAACAATTTTTACGAACAACGAGAAGCGTATTACGCTCACATGATTTTGAGATGGTTGAGAAGATTTGTAGCTCAGGTGGATGATTTTGGTGGAGTTTTGTTCTCTGAGCTGGATGGTTTGATCGTGGAGCTTTCATCGTTCTTCTGAACGACATCATCATCAGCACAAACGTCAGATAGAAGTGGTGTTCGGATTCCTCCATTTGTGTTTCACAGCTTGTTCTGTGCACCTCGATGTTGATTGGTTCTTATTGACCTTAAATTTATCATTGTTTACTTCTTTGTTTTGGTTGTCTCCCATTGGTGTTTGATTTTTGTTCCTATATTTATGCATGATTTTCCTGATTGGTTGATAAATTGGATTTATTTCAATGTTTGTTGATTGCTGATTGACCTGAGTGCCAGGCTTCTAAAAATTATCTGGTGTTTTTGGAGTTTCCTCTGTCTAAGATTTCCACATTTTTCCAATCGAATGAGTGTCCGTAGTTATCCACGTGTATTGATATAAGTGAAGAGATATCATGGCGTTTGACTGCTAATTGATGTTTATGTAAGCGTAGATGGAGGGGGCGTCCGCTTTGTCCGATGTAGTGTTTGTCGCAATTGGTACAATTTATTTAGTAGATGATGTTTGATTTGTTTTCCTTTGTTATTTCATCCTTTGGTTTGCATAGGATTGATTGTAGTGATTTTGTCGGTTTGTGTGCCACACCTATCCCGAAGATTTTCAGCAGTCTCGTTGCGGTTTCGGATATTCTTTGTATGTACGGTAGGGTGATCCTTTTGTTTATTTCTCTGCTTGACTTGGGTTCTGATGCTGCGTGCGGTTGGTGTTTTTTTGATGAAGTTGATTGGATAGCCGTTCTTCTGAAATATGTCCTTCAAGTGTTTCTCTTCATTTTTTCGTGCTGCCAGTGTGCTGCAACGTGTCCTCGCCCTCTTGAACAATGTATGTACGCAGTTGATTTTGTGAGCTCTTGGGTTGTTGCTGTTGTAGTTGAGAATTTGATCTGTATGGGTCAGTTTCCTATATACTTGAGTTTCCAGTTTTTCTGCGTCTGTTTTAGTGATTAATATATCCAAGAATGCTAGTTGGTTGTTTGACTCCTGTTCCATTGTGAACTTGATGTCATTGAAAACGTTGTTGATCAGTTTGTAAGTGTTTTCCAGTTCATTCTTCTCCACCATCTCAAAGACAACCATCAATTATACAACTTTAAATAGATTACATTTAGCAACCAGTTTCATCATGTTTTAATATCATGGTATCATAACATCTTGAATTCAAGATAATTAAAAGATAACTGTGATATTAGTGTATACCTCAGGTAGTTATTATATGATAGAAGAGATACATAGTTTAAAGGTATATTATAAATAATCAATAATTATTTATTTGAATTCACTATTTTGTAATGAAGGAAATATCTCTTACATAGTCATTAAACAACTGAAGAATCACCATTTGTAAATTTACATGGTTTAATATTGTTTTGTAGAATATAATTGCAATATTGAACAAACTTAAGGTTAGTAATTCTACGTTTCATGTATCAGTCAGTTACAACGTAGGACCAGGCACATATATGCATCGGTCCAAGTTGCCATACCTCATTAGCACAACAAGATCAACACCAAATTCATAGAAGTAGTTACTTCAATGGTAGTAATATATAAAAGAAAGATTGCATATATGGCCATAGTACAGGAGGAAAGAATTATTTCGTAGAAAGAAAGATATAAAGCAATTTTAATCTCAGAGTTTAAGTGAAGACAGGGAGTGTATACACCGACGCCATTGTGATCAATTCTGAGCCATGTCACACAGAGTTTCCAACTATGGATTACGATAGTCTGCATCTACTAACATGGCTAAGACTAGAACTTAGTGACTTCAAGGATTGATGCCACGTTGTGGTTTGGCCGCACCTAACTACATTTCATGTATACTTTAGTAAGAATCTTTAGTGCAGACTCTACACTTGAAGTATAGAGATAAATTTATGTATTTACAAGCTTTGTTTAAGATTGCTCAATGAGTATTTAAAGAAAAAAAGTGAATAACACATTTACGAAATCCATCGTCTAGTAATTGGAAGACTTGATTATTCAAGAATACAAAACATTTTTTTCAGTCGCGTTACACCAAGTGATTGGATAAAAGTATAACGGTTCGAGTTATTGTATTGTCAGGATTATAATGATCATCATTGTCATTAACTGTTATAATCAAAGCCTATTCATAGCTAAGCTTAGTATTAAACGGTTCCATAAATAATTAATAACATCCACCATGATATCAGAATCATCGATATATATATATATATATATATATATATATATATATATATATATCAAATTGTACTTTTTCCCGAAAACTCCACCTGGAGCCACTCTGGGGTTACTGCCGGTTGAAAGCCCGGATAAAAGAGGATGATTGGGTATAGGGGTTAGCTACCTCATCCCATAGAAAATTGACTTTTTTTTCTCAAAGAAATATATCAATAATTAACTTACTAATTTAGATGGATTATAAATTAATAATACTTGACTAATTGATGCAGGTGGTAGAAATGTTGTATAAGATGGAAGATTTTGTCCAGATGCAATAAGTTGTCGTATTTTAAAAGGCTACAAGAGTAAATAGAATCAATACAAGTTATTATCTATTTGTTCAACTTAATATAGCAAATTTTCAATTGAAACTATAGAAAAAAATGTACTTGAAATACAGTGCAAAAATCATCAAATTTCAATTGACTTGATCAATGTTTTTAGTAAAATCTGAGAACCATACCATAAATACTTCATTTACAAAATGTCAATTAATCGTCCTAGACTTCATTGTTTCTTTGTTTCTGATAAGTCTTGTTAATTTGAACCCTTTATTCGGTTTGTAAGCTATTCTGGTAACCTGCAAGCTAGAACTACGCAGTGACCTGAACTCGAGAGAAAAGGCGCATAATAAGCGAAAAACGCATTACTCCAAAGGGTTCATTTTTGTACAGAAAAACACGGTTATTTATAGATGTTAACATTTGTTAAATCAACATCATATTTTGGCCAATCCGCTAAAAGACAGATTATGCTACTGACCAATAGTAGCACGCCACATTCATATTCTAGAAAGCTCCATCATACTCTGATTGGCTAGGACTCCTCGGCTCCTCTAGGGCCTCTGGAGGATCCGTTGCAGTTCTTGGAAAGCCGACTCAACACTTTCCATAGTAATCATTCTCTGTTCTCGTTCTCTTTCCTTAGACCTTCTTAACTATCGGCAACTGGGCTTTTTACTTTCGATTGATGATATATACTACTTATATCTATCGATATCAGTAGCATACACCACAGTGGTAGTGTACTTACCCATTGTGTGTTTGTACACATGTGTTAAGTTAGGTTAGTTTATTCACCACGTACTTATGTATGAGTCACACTCGAATTATGAAAGCTAATGATACTACTTGATTGCTGAAACTCAAGTGAGTGAGACAGGGTTCGAACCTGAAACATAGTGGTTGATAGTCGAATGGTTTTTTTTAAATACTGTGTGTATTGGTGAACGATAATAAATAGCATTTTTATTTTTGACAAACATTAACTTGTGTTTCTTGTGAAATTTATACGGAAACAATACACCTTTTTCGAAGGTTTAATAAACATTATAGGAGAGTATGGTATTTCATGTTCGACAAGGATGTAAAACGTAAACATGTAAAGTCATCGTAAAATATCAAATTAACAGAATAGCTAATCAAAGAAAACAAGAGATAACTGGCTTTTAAAATATAAATAATCATAGTCATAAACATCATAGTCAGAAAAAGAGAATACAGTTGTTTCGTGTGTGCGACACAAAATGTTACTAATAATTTTCCATCATTGAATCTGGTCATCATACTGACACCATAAACAGGATATTTTTATATCTTCTAGCACGACTTCATTCGACAGTCAGTAATTTCATGAACTGATGTCACATTTTTGTTGGACTGTTCCTAGTATTCTAGTTTACTTTACATGAGATATCAACAGGTTTAAGTGTTTATTTATTTATTTAAACACAAACATTAGTGCAAACATTCACAAAAATATAGATGCACCACACAAATTATTGAACTTTTGTTTAGGCTGAAAATCTGTGAAGGCGCCCAAACAGAAACAGGTTGTTTTTTAGGGGGCGATTCCCCGATTATTTAACCTAGAAATCCTATCCACGAGACAGCGAAGCAACGTTAGAAGATGAAGTCACATGGTAGCTAGTGACCAACAAAAGATTTATATGCCATTAGTTCCCTTAGAGTTCCGGAGTCTATGTGTACTGTTGATTTAGAGTCGGGGTTTCCTAACTCTCTAATCACTAGTTTTAATTTAAAAGCCAATATATTCATATTCATGGCCCCCAAATGCTCTGGTACAGACGAGAGTGGGGAGAGTCAGCTCTCCCTCTCCAAATGCTCTCATATGGACAAGTGTATACAACCACTGTCAGGGAAGTCCTATTCACTGCCTTCTCGCACCACGGAGGTTATTTACGAACTCGAGAGGACGAAAAACGAATGTCCGGCGCTTCAACAGGGTTGATGGACATGGAGAATCCACCTAGGGGAGTTGGAAAACCTTGACTCCAAACTGATGGTGCATATGGGCTCCAGTATTCTGTAGGGACAAATGGCGTATGAACCAATCGTTGGTTACCGGCTACCATGGGACTGCATCTCCTTACGATGCTCCACTGCCTTGTCGATCAGACCTTTAGGTCAAAGGCACTGGGTGTGGCCCCATAAGAAAACCACCTACTTTGATTTGAGCACCCGGGCAGTATCCTAGCCCTCACATAAAATGGAATGATTTATGTGGTGCATATCTAATTGGTACCTTCTTGTATCAATGTTAATGTGTTTAAGTAAAATAAAATAAATCGTATTCATACAAATTGTCATTTTAAGTAGGAATTAAGGTGTATAAAATGGTAATTTTGATTGATTTAGTTAGTTAGTTAGTTAGTTATTTAGCAATCAACGAATTTTTTCATTGAATTCACAAAGTAACCTTTAAGAAAAGAAACAAATGAACAGGAGATAAAGTAAAAGCGATGATATGTTAATTTCGATAGTGTTGAATTTCCTGAACTGGATAGTTCATTGTTGCTTTGAACGACATCAGAGCTTATTATAGGTAGAAGTGAGTCTCCTTGTTTAAAAACAGGAGTGAATATTGTGCAGTCATTCAACTATCTGCTTCATATGATACAACATATTCAAAATTAGAACAACACATATAAGCGAACAATTGTTTTCAATTAGATCGTCATCAGGCTTTACTCTAATATACATGAATATTTATACGAAAATGTTAAACCAATCAAGGCAATATGGGTCAATAATCACAATGAAATAAAATAAGTCTCTAGGTAAAAGTACAAGTTGATAGTAGGAAGACAGGTGAACTGATAATAGTGAGAATAATAAAATACAATAACAAAACTCTTATCAATAATTAAACGTTGGAAATAGAAGGTCAAATAAACATGGGTAAATAGACTAGGAATAGTAATCACAAAACATTAAAATCATTACGTAATAAGATGTGTGTAAATAATTAGATAGTGAAGAATACAAAGAGGCGGAAAATTACAAACAAATAATGGATGTGAAAATAAGGTTAATGTTAACACAAATAAAATAAAATGAATAAGGATAATAATAAAATAAAATAAATAAATAAATAAAAAGAATTGTTAGTTAAGTTATAACTGGCCATGGAAGGGATAGGGGGGTCACGTATTTCTTCTGTACACATAAATTGGGGTTATATGTACGGATTCCAATGGCTTCAGCTATATATAGGAGACGGGAACGGACTCCGTCGGGAAATGATGGAGGTATGCGATAGATAACTCGAAAAGATTTCGATTTATCTACTGCATGACCGCTATCAATAAGATGTGCCAATATAGAACTCCGAATAGATTTTCTCTGGCCCTTTATGTACCAAGTTGGTAGATGTTCACTCATTCGTTGGTTAAGTTGCCTGGTAGTACGCCCTATATAGCTATCTCCACAGGAGCAGCTGAATTTGTAAATGCACATGGAAGAGGCCAACTCAGGTAACTTATCCTTCGTTTGAGTAGACATCGCTGGTCGACAAGAGAAGGTCAACGCCAGATTGGCTGCGTAGAATGTCCTGGTGATTACTTTGGTTAATCTATATTTCAGAGTGTCACTAGCCACATCCCCGTTGAATTGCACTTTCATGTATAAAGGTTTCTTGCGAACAGTCGAAATCTCCGACTTTTTTATTATATCATGCATGTACTTCCTAATGAACGCGCTGGGGTAGCCGATCTCGGTCAGTGAGTTGTTGATAAATTCAAGCTCCTGACTTAGAGTGTCTACTGTACAGATCTTTTTTGCTCTGCTAGTGAGACATCTGACCAAATTTCTCTTGTAACGGATAGGTGTGAAACTGCAGAAGTGAATATATTGGCATGAAGAGGGGTTTCTTCTATACACGCTTCTACTTAGTGTGCCATCACTTCGTCTGCTTAGTGTGACGTCAAGGAAGTTCAGCTTCTTATCCTGCTCGCTTTCACCAGTGAAAGTGATCGCTGGGTGGACACTGTTGAATTGTTCTAGGAGTTCCTCCTTACTGGTGTTTTGATCTACGATAATGAAAGTGTCGTCAATGTAGCGGCAATATAAATCAAGTTTCTGAATAGGCTCATTGAGAGGTCCATTTTTCTAGCTTTGCTAGGAAGAGATCAGCTAAAATCGGGCCTAGAGGCGAGCCCATGGCTATCCCGTCTATTTGTCTATAGTAAGTATTGTTGAAGACAAAATGTACATTCAGGGTGCATCTTAGGAGCAGTTCCCTTAGGCTATCGTTAGGCAAGCCAATGTTGATTTGTTTTTCAGATATTTGCTTGCATATAAACTCAATAGTCTCCATAAGTGGTACGTTGGTGAACAAAGATCCTACATCCAATGAGATCATATTTTTCCTACTAACATTAATATTTTCTACTTTGGAGGTGAAGTTGAAGACGTCTTTTACACTATTTCTAACCACTGATTTGTGTAAAGGTTCTAAGATTCGTACTAGCCACTTTGCGATTTTGTGGTAAGGAGAATTGTACATATCTAGAACTGGGCGTAGGGGAAGACCCGATTTATGTACTTTAGGCAAACCATACAGTCGTGGTGTAAATGATCCCGTCGGCTTAATTGAGTCGTGAATTTCGGTCGTAATTATTCCTTTTTTCTTTAGATCTTTAAGGAAATTGGTCAATTGTCCTTCTACTTTTTTATTGACCCATATTGCCTTGATTGGTTTAACATTTTCGTATAAATATTCATGTATATTAGAGTAAAGCCTGATGACGATCTAATTGAAAACAATTGTTCGCTTATATGTGTTGTTCTAATTTTCACAATAGGAATCTTTAATATATTCAAAATTGTTTAGATGAAGTTATAAATCTTCTTCATCAGATATCAATGCTAACTATAGGACTAACTAGTCCTGTTTGGTGAAGACGCTGACAAAATGCAGAGTCTTCTGGTAGCACTGAGCAACAATGCCAGGATGTTTGGAATGCGCTTCTCTCCCTCTAAATGCAAGTTGATGCTTCAGGACTGGTCTGCGTTAACACCTGAACTAAGGATAGGGAGTGAAGTAGTCGAACGCGTTGACAACTTCACTTATCTTGGAAGTCTGATCAGCCCTAATGGGTTGGTATCGGACGAAATCTCAGCACGGATTCGAAAAGCTCGTTTGGCTTTTGCCAACTTACGTCACCTGTGGCGAAGGCGAGATATCCGTCTATCAATAAAAGGACGAGTATACTGCGCGGCAGTCCGTTCTGTCTTACTTTACGGTAGCGAAACATGGCCATTAAGAGTAGAAGACACTCGTAAGCTACTAGTATTTGACCACAGATGCCTTAGAAATATTGCTGGCGTCTGCTGGGATAATCGGGTAAGTAATAGTGAGGTTAGACGCAGGGTATTAGGAAAGGATGGTAAATCAGTTGACGAGGTTATGAATCTTCATCGACTGAGATGGTTGGGCCACGTGTTACGTATGCCTGAACACCGATTACCACGACGTGCAATGCTATCCGGTATTGGATATGGTTGGAAGAAAGTTAGGGGCGGCCAAACCAAAACGTGGCATCAGTGCTTGAAGTCACTAACTTCTAGTCTGAGCCATGTTGGTAGATGCAGACTACTTGGTTGGGGTCCGCGTGACTATCGTAACCAATGGTTGGAGACTCTTGGTGACATGGCTCAGAATCGATCACAATGGCGTCGGTGTATACACTCCCTGTCTTCCCTTAAACTAAGAGATTAAAATCACTTCATATCTTTCTTTCTACGAACCAATTCCTTCTTCTTGTACTATATCTCTATATGCAATCTTTCTCTTATATATTACCACCTTTTACCTAACCACTGTTATGAATCCGGTGTTCATCTTGTTGTGCTGATGCGGTATGGCAACCTGGACCGATGCACATATGTGCCTGGTCCTACGTTGTAACTGACTGACTGACTGATAGGACTAACACTGGACATGAAATGTTGCATACAAATTATAAATAATAATTATTATTTAATCATTTATTTATTTAAACAAATAAACATTGGTGTAAGGAGAAACAAAATAGATATGCGCCGCATAAATCACTCGGTTTATGTGAGGGCTGGGATATTGCCCGGGTGCCCAGACCGAAGTGGGTGGTTCTCTTAGGAAGCCACACCCGGAGCCTTTGACCTAAAAGTCTAATCCACAAGGCAGTGGATCAACGTCAAGAAATGCAGTCCCAACGATTGGTTTATACGCCATTTATTTCCTTAGGATCCTGGAGCTCATGTACACCATTGGTTTGGAATCACAGTTTTCCAACCCATCTAGGTGGATACTCCATATCGACCAACTTGGTTAAAGCGTCGGACAATAATAATAGTGATAATAATAATGTAAATTAATAATCTCACCTTTTCAACACCAAATCTAACATTGATTTCAGTAATGGGTAAAACATTTCGACTAGATATAACAGCAACAAAAACCATCACTTCAGGATGTGGTTTATTATTAGCATAATGTAGTGTTAATTGTATGTTATAAGTATTATCATCACTGTCATTTTTTTGTGATATATCAGTTGGATAAAGTGTCAATGGTGTTTTATGTATTGAATGAGGTTGAACAGAAGAAAGTTGAATATCAAATGATTTAAGATCAATTACACTTTGTGTTGTAACTTCTGATTGTGTTACTTCTTCCACCTTGTGATTATTACTGGTGGGAGTGTTATTCATGCTTACAACTACGTCATTAATACATAGGGATGTGTTATCATCATCAGCATCATCATCGGGTTTTATTTTACTTGGAGAATTATTTGCTAGTAATATTGATAGATTTGTATCTGTCAAAGCATTTGTTCTATGTAGATATGAAAGAAACGTAAATAGAATATTAAAACTACATTTTAAAAATGCATCATGCAAATATATTATTTTTTTTCCGAAATGATTTGTGATTTAATTACTTACGCCTGTTACTCTTCGTGGAGGAGCACAGGCTATCCACAAGCACTCTCCATCTAACCCTGTCCTGGCCAATCCTTTCCAGCTCTTTCCAGTTATTATTCATCTTTTTCATATCTGCTTTTATTTCCCGATCAAATGTGTTCTTTGGCCTTCCACTTTTCCGCTTTTCTTCAGGATTCCAAATTAGGGCTTGCCTCTTGATGCAGTTTGACGATTTGCGTAATGTATGTCCTATCCATCGTTTTTCCTAATCTCCTCTTCAGTTGGAAGTTGGTTTGTTCTCTCCCACATTAGGCTGTTGCTGATGGTATCAGAACAACACACATTCAGTATCGTACGTAGATAATTATTTATAAATGCTTGTACATGATTGATGATGGTTGTGGTAGTTCTCCAAGTTTCAGCTCCGTACAGTAGAACTTTCTTGACGTTCGTATTGAAGAGATTTTTGATTTGGAAACAGTCAATTATCATCGATTGATATTAGTTACAGAAACATTGATAACCAAGGGACACTTATTATCAATCTTATTAGATGATCTTTGTGCTACATATCATCAATTGAACGGATATATATATATATATATATATATATATATATATATATATATATATATATATATATATATATATATATATATATATATATATATATATATATATATGGATTGACTCAGTGATCTTGATGTATCATGCACACAGTGAAGTCTGAAATTTCTCAACTCGATACTGTGTAGAGTAGTAGTAGCACAGTTTATGCAAACAGTACTTGGAAGACATGAGTATACGAATACCAACAATTTACTGAGTCGTCCTACTCTTAAATATCTTAAAGTAGCACAAATCAAACTATTCTTCAGTTTATTCTCATATTTATTAGTAGATCAACATTTAACCCGAATCACATGTGGCTTACGTTTTTTAAAAACCGAACAAGCTTTTTATGTCCATGCTAACAGATCCGACCAAACCCCCAAAGAATCAGAGCTGATGAGACTACAAACGCAATTGAACCAGTTAAACTGTTCGATAAATTTGCTTCCTAAGGTCATATTCAGCATCGATAAATGTCATTCTCGAAATAACACTTTGTAATTGGCGGAAAAGCAAATCATTGCAAATACTCTAATAATCCTCCATGAAATATTCAAAAGATTACGGATCACCAAAATAGAAATACATGATCATTAGAATTACAATAACATGAAAATCAGATCGCTAAATAAAGGATTAACTATGAATAAGTGAGGTTCGTCTTGATGAAAGAGGTCAGTGCAAAAGGAGTTGCATTACCACAAATCATACAAAGACTTCTCTAAATGTAAGGTGACAATATTTATTCATCAATTGATTGTTCGGAAATTTTTGATCCAGGCTCTTTGTCGCTTTGTAGTACATCATCATCCATTTACACATGAATGGTCATCATCCAAGAAATAATAAAAAAGGATTTCTACAAAAAGATAAAAACGCAACGAGCAACACTTACTTTGATAAGTTAAGCATTTGACGACTCAAACTATCTAGTTCGCTGAAGACGTTGTGATTGGAATTTACAGAAGATCCATGTTCAGGAGACAAGGATTGTTTCGATGTTTTGGAGTCTACAGAACTGAATATTGATGGGTAAAGCGTTGACGAAGTAGAGAGTACTGGGAGGAAAGAGAAAAGTGAAGATTAAGAATTCTTATTAGTGTTAGTAGTAGTATAGTTCATTGAAATAATAATTAGCAAATGAAGTTATGAAACATCATTCCATTTGAATATTATCAATATAAGAAAGTGATATGAATTAGAAACCAGTAAGAATTAAGTATCCATCTCGTCCTCTTATAATACTCTAAAGCACAAAACTTGCAACTCAATTCCCGACATGCCCGAAAGTGTTTCCAATGGATAGAATAACCAAAAATGTTACGGTACAAAAATACCATATATTATGGTTTCTGACAGTGAAAAACAACTGCATTTACAACCGGTTTAAGAAATTCTATGGAGAAAACAACATCATTTATGTCAGGTCCCATGTAATCCCATATGCATAGCTAGCTGTTATGACTGAAATAGAAACTGATGTCATTCGAATAATGCGAGAGAAAAGAGGATAGATGACAATTTATGATACACCAAAAACAAATCAATATCTTAGTCCTATATGAACTTTGTCGCTCCCCACAGCAGCTCAGCGGTAATGCCTAAAACTGTATCTTGGAGATATAGGTTCGAATTTCACGCGAAGAGTTAGTCTCCTTAATATTCCAAGTAAGTCTATTTAATGAGTGCTCACTAGCATGAAACCTAGTTCCAAGGTTTTCTGTTCATTATATTCCACCACCAAACAAACCAACAACATATCATGAATATTATGTTTTCTATATGATTAATAGTTCGAATTTAAATACATTTAAACAAGTACCACTTACAACTGCTTAATATCAATAACTTAGTGGATGAAAACAATTTATAAGTTTCATAAGATCGAAATTGTACAACTAAAATGAGTAACTGAATACTGCAATCATATTGTTGTCATTAATAATAACAATAACAGCTGTTGGTAAATAGCACAATACCATTCAATTAAAATAGTCTCGCAGTAAATTATTAACCCTTTCACAGTGTTCCTTATTTTTATTTAAACATATAAACATTGGTACAAGGAGGCACCAAATAGATATGCGTCACATAAACCATTCGATTTTTGTGAGGGGTGGTTTAACTAGGTGGTCACACTCGGAGCTTTCAACCTAATGGTTTGATCCACAAGACAGAGGAACAAGGTCAGGAGATCCAGTCCTATGGTAGTCGGTGAACAACGATTGTTTCATACACCATTTATTCTTTCAGAATGCTGGAGCCCAGGTAAACCATTGGTTTAGAATCAAGATTTTCTAACTTCCCAAGGTGGATCCTCCGTACCCCCCACCAACCCGGTCAAAGCACCAGACGTTCGTTTTTCGTCCTCTCAATTTCGTAAACAACCTCCGTGGTGCGAGAAGGCAATGAGTAGGACTTCCCTGGCAGTGGTTGTATGCATATGGCCATATGAGAGCATTAGATACATCTGCAAAATTATGACAGATTCTAATCGACCTCACACAAAATCTACAAACAATGATTATGATAATCATGTGGACCCCAACACAGCAGTCACTACCCACATACATGGCTCAGTTCAACAGATTTTATCAACTGATGCTTGAATTTGACCTCCACGAGCTTCCTTCCGACCTACTCCGACACCATCAAATATAGCGCATTGAGGTGGTTGAGCATAAATAACACATACCTCAGCCACCTCTCAATGAAAAAAACTTCACTACCTGATTAATCGATTTTAAATAAAAAGATATTAAAAAGGGTAAAAATATTAATGAAACTTACCTGTTGACCCAGAAGTCGTAGTAGTAGTAGTAGTAGAAGTATTAGTAGCATTTGTGGAAAAAATATCCTGTAAGTCATCATAGTTTGATTTTTTCCTAATACCAGGATTATTGCCAATAAAATTGTTACTAGTATTATTACTACTGTTCAATGAATATTTTGGTTCAATTGGACGCGATACTTGATTACATGACGAATTATGATGATTAACAAAAAATGAATCTGAAGTATTCAATAATAAAACATCTGGAGAGTATAGATTAGCATTAGAAGATGGGATAGGTGTAATTAAATCATCACATAAGCCTAAATTCATTAAATCTTGTGTTAAAAGATCAGTAATATGATTAGATGATGACAATTGATTTTCATTTGATGATAATTGAGAAGAAGAAGAAGAATTATCCTTAGTTATAGATGATGATTTTGATGAGGATAATGACTTTTGTTTGGCTATTTTTTGTTCATAATTTGCTAAAACTTCACTAGCTTTGTCACATATTTGACCAATTTCAGCTAAAAAATTTATAACCGAGAAAAAAAAGATATAAATGTAAAAATACAAATACCATTATTAAGACTGATAACTAATTATTTTGCAGTCAGTCAGTCAGTAACAACATAGAACTTCGTACGTACGTAAATCAGTTCGAGTTGCCATGCCACATTTGCACAGAGATGCAGTTTTCGGTTCAAATCTCGTAGTGATAGAGGTAATAAGAGTATAAGCAGCAATTGGAAAGATTAAGGTTTGAAAATGTTATTCAAGGAGTATAATCCAGTGAAACAATTGAAGCTAGAACATCATGGAAAACCTGAACAGCCGTTTCATTTTGATGTGAGACTTCTCAGCAGTGCGCATCAACGATCCCGCCTCGCGAGACTTTAACCTAGGACCTATTGGTTTCCATAGTGGTCTAGCTACAATTAACTCATGATCTCAACTATTAAAATTATTGTTTACTTATTTCTTTAACCACATAAACATTGGTGCAGAAAGGCACCAAATATACACGTGCACTTCATCATTTAATTTGTGTGAAGGCTGGAATACTGCCCGGGCGCCCGAATCGGAGCAGGTAAGCATAAATCAAACAGTTGAATTGAGACTATAGATTGTAATGCAATATTTATTCAACTTTTAACTAGTAGGTCACGGAAACTATTGTAAACTGATCAGAAATTCTGAGAAATACTAACAGAAGTAGTTGGTAATAATCATAAAATGATATGGAAAATAAACCTTTATCAAATAAGGACAAATCATCGATCAATTCTTTGAACATACAGTTATGATATCAGATGGAAGAGCTTAAAAGCAACCTATATGAGTTACAAGAATTGATATGTGTTAATAAAAATAGATATGATTGGTTACTGAGTATGGATAAACAGTCAGGTAGCTTCTCTTGTTGACTTCTATTCCGGAATTACTGAGAGTGACTGCTTGTGATCGTGTGGAGTAAAGCATTAACTAGTCTATATGGTGGTTCTTTATTTTGGTCGTGAATCGGGTATCTGATATAACCTAATCTACTTTCCGTATAAAGGATCTTTCAAGTATCCAATCTTTTGATAGTATAAACTCGGTCACTTAAACCAGTCTTATTGAGTTATAGTCGCATTATAATAGTGGTGTAGTATATTGTGGTGACAAAAATATTTTATTCCAACCGTTGTATCAGATATACCCACTAGTTGTTCATCACCTAATTGTGATCTAAATGAAACGACAATTATCAAAATGATAACTAACTGTTTTAAGCATTATTATCTAATCATCTAATCAGTTTTCAATCAATTGAATTACATATTAGAACTATGGTTCGTCTACTTTGGTTTAACTAACCCGACAGTATTGCCATAATAACTTGTAGTACGAAGTTAAATTGAAAACTTGTAGATATTTTGATGGAGTTTGGTTCTCTGAGTTGGATGGTTTGGTTGTGGAGCTTTCATCGTTCCTCTGAACGACATCATCGGCAAAAACTCCAGGGATATATATACATACATACTCATCAACTCAATAAATCTATTTATTTAAACACATAAGCATTGGTACAAGGAGACACCAAATAGATATGCACCACATAAATCATTCGATTTGTGTGTGGGCTGGGATACTACCCGGGTGCCCAAATCAAAGCACGTGGTTTTCTTAGGGGACCACACTCGGAGCCTTTGACCTAAAGGTCTAATCCACAAGGCAGTGGAAAAATGTCAGGAGATGCAGTCCTATGGTAGCCGGTGATCAACGATTGGTTCGTACACCATTTGTTCCCTCAGGATTATGGAGCCCATGTGCACCATTGGTTCGGAATCAGAGTTTTTCAGCTCCCTTAGGTGAATCCTCCATACCCACCAACCCGGTTAAAGCACCGGACATTCGCTTCTCATCTTCTCAATTTTGTAAACAACACCCGTGGTGCGAGAAAGCATTGAGTATGACTTTCCTGACAGTGGTTGTAGGCATGTGGCCATGTGAGAGCATTTGGAGAGGGAGAGCTGACTCTCCCCACTCTCGGCTGTACCATGGCATTCGGGGGCATCACCTCACTAGACTTAGATGAGTTAACGACCCAATAATTCATATGAATGTAAAACTGTTTCCTAAATACAACTTAGAAATTGATAGAATATACAGCCATCATTATTTATTCCTCATAAAAAAATAATTTCAATCTCTATAATTTGAAGAAGAAGAAAAAGAAAAAATAAACTTACTCAATGTTTCAATATCTTGTTCTTCATGTGTTAAAGAGAAACTATATAATAACGGACGTGCTCTACGTATATTCTGTGTCAATTCCTGTATAAGAATTAAAAATAACGATAATGATGTATATGTATATGTGTGTGTGTGTGACAAGTTAAGGATCAATTACGAAAGAATTACATGCTAATACAATTCACTGTAGTATTAAATAATATCTCTAATGATTGCTTAGATAGAAGTAGATGTTATAGAGTGAATTATAGTTAATAGACTAATAGAATAACATAAATATAAGTAAATAATAGTTTTTAATTAGAAATAGATTGTTTAACTATACTTAACAGGGTGAAAAGTACAAATAGTATGAATACATGTGTACTAGTTTTAATGGTAAGAATAATGAAGATTCTAGTTAATACATATATGCCGGTTGTTTGGATCTTCACATTGATGTATAGGACTGAGATTAACCAGTCTTTACTGGCATATATCTATCCTGTGAGGATTTCTTAGATGTTCCCATTAATTCACAAGCATTCTATACGGAGATAGATGATGGCTAGCTACACTGAACCCACCGGACATTGTAGCAGCACACAGAGATCTTCCCATAGATGTCACTCCGCCTACAACACAAGGAATCAGGATGGCTATCAAACAAATCAAAAGTGAAAAAGCATAAGGACCTGACAATATACTAGCTGAAGCACTGAAGTCATACATAGAAGCAACAGCAAATATGCTCCACTTTCTGTTTATGAAGATTTGGAGGGAAGAACAAGTGCCGGCAAACTGAAAAGAAGGATACCTCACCAAGATAATAAAGAAAGGAGATCGGAGAAAGTGTGCTGACTACAGAGGCATCTCATTACTATCAGTGCTAGGAAACATTTACAACAGTGTTGGTGAAAAGAATGAACGATTAGGTATACGCTCAGCTTCGAGAGCAATGAGCTAAATTTTATGTGGATCTATTATGTGCCGATAAAATCACGCCACCACGGGTCATCGTTAAATATTCGATTAAATGCATTAACTTCATTGACTGTGAGGTGTTTGACAGTGTGGATATAATAACCATAAAGAAACTTTTTCGACAAAATAATATAACTGGGAAGATCGTGAATATGATAAAAAATTCTTATGACTGAATATACTCAAAGTGGTGCATAAAGAACAGCTGACAGACACATCCCAAGTGAGGACCGTAGTCAAACAAGTCTGTTTTCTCTCTCTCTCTCATTCTTCCGATAGTTGACTGGATTATGAAGACCTCCACATCTCAAGGGAAGTATGGAATACAATGGACAGGTTGGATGCAGATAAACGATTTGGAGTTTGCAAGTGGCCTAGCTTATCTATCCCATACACATAAACAAATGCACATAAAGACAGCCAGTATAGCAGCAGCTTCTATCTGCAGCAGTAGGTCTCGACAAGGCAAAATGCAAGATCTTCAAATACAACACAACGAGCACTAACCCAATCACAGTTGATGGAGAAGCTCTGGAAAATGTTGAAAATTTCACGTACCTGGTCATTATCATCTATGAATGAGGAAGATCTGATGCAAATGTGAATGCAAGGACAGCATTCCTACAGTTGAACAACATATAGAACTCCAAACAACTGTCAACCGATATCAAAGTCATAATCTTTAATACAAACGTCAAGACAGTTCTATTGTACGGAGAAGAAACTTGCAGAACGACTACCACACCATCATCAAAAAGATAAGAAGTCTTAAGAAATTTCTATACAAGATACTGAATGTCCGTTGACCGGATACCATCAACAACAGTCTATTGTGGGAGAGAAAACCAGCTTTCAGCTGAAGAGAAAATTAGGAAAAGACGTTGAAAGTGGATAGGACACACAATAAAGATATGATCAAACTGCATCGCGAGGCAAGCCCAAACTTAGAATCCTGAGGGCAAAAGGAAAAATGACAACTCAAAGAACATATTGCTCTGGAAATTGGAGACAGACATCAAAAGAACGAACAGCGATTGACAAAAACTGGAAAAGAGAGCCAAGGATAGTGTTGTTTGGAGAATCCTGGTCGGGGATGTATGTTTCACAATGGGTAACAGGAGTACGCAAAACAAAGTAAAAAAAAAACAAGATTTGTATAACCACGACTACTATTTCAAGTTTTTTGAGTATCAGACGAAATCTGAATTTCCAAGCATTCCAGACTAACGGTTAACAAGTTCACAGACTGAAACCATGTTTTTATTTGAAATATGTTAGTCTTATTTCAGTTGATTTGTAGAGCAGTTGGAAAATTTTAAAACAATCAAATTTTAACCATTTAATCAAAATATTAAAACCCACTCGATCGGATTCTTTATGGGCAACTGGCTTTTAGGCTAAACGTGCATCTCAAAAACAACCACATAACTCTGCAGTGGTCTACTGGGTTACATTATATTACCATATAAGACTACCCATAATCTAGCTATTATGAAACATCAAGATAAGGGGTAGTTGTGCATTTATAACATAGATCTAAATCACCTCAGTCAATTTACGATGACCATCATCTATTTTCATACAGTTTTTAATGGGTAGGGAAAAAAACAAGGAAACAACCGATAAAGGGTCTAAGTAAACTTCAAATTAACTACTCATTCCACCTTTAGGAAGATATTATTCTAGCCAACGGTCATGAAATAATCAGTCATTTCTTCAAATACATTCAACGAATTTATAATTGGTGTACTATTAAAGTGCATAAGTAAAAAACATATAGATTAAATACTTACACTCATCAATTCTAATTCAGCCTCAGTACTTTCACCTAATAAATATGTCCCAATCATTTCTTCTAATAATATTGTATTGTTCCTTAAAGCTTCCATTTCACTAGTTCTTTGGCTTACTTTTTCCATACGTACTTGATCCTTTAAAATAAGTGTGTAATAGACACATAAATAAATAAATAGATACTTTCAACGAATGGTGAAACTAACGTAAATAATTCCACAAAATAAGAAAACACTATTTGCCTACTGATTTAATTTATGAGTAGTTAATAAGCGTCGACAACAAAAAAATGTACGGTTCGTTAAAGCAATGAGAAATTTCTGAAAAGATCAATTACCTTTCACAATAAACTGTTTATTTACATAATTTATTAATTAGTCAGTCATTATAAACACTGAACTGGATAGAAGATTGTGGGTTGGTACAGGCCCCCTACTTCATAGATATTAGTATAATAATAACTGTAAGATTATTTATTTATTATTTATTTATTTCAACACATAGATAATGGTACAAAGAGGCACCAAATACATATGCGCCACACAAATCTCATTCGATATGTGTGAGGGCTGTGATACTGCCCGGGTGCCCAAACCGAAGCAGGTGGTTTTCTTAGGGGGCCACACCCCGAGCCTTCGACCTGAAGGTCTGATCCACAAGGCAGTGGAGCATCGTGAGGAGATGCAGTCCCATGGAAGCCGGTGACCAACAATCGGTTCATTCGCCATTTGTTCCCGCAGGATACTGGAGCCCATGTGCACCATTGGTTTGGAATCCGGTTAAAGCGCCGGACATTCGCTTTTCGTCCTCTCATTTTCGTAAACAACACCCCCGCCACGAGAAGGCAGTGAGTAGGACTTCCCTGGCAGAGGCTATATACGCGTGGCCGTGTGAGAGTATTTCGAGAGGGAGAGCGGACTCTCCCCACTCTCGGCCGTACCAGGGCATTTGGGGGCTGATCTTCGATATTTAGATCACTAAATGTTACGGGTTAAATCCGATCAGTGTAACATCACCAGTTATCTTGATCATTGAGTTATCTTGCATTACTCGATCATACACTATGTGAGTGATTTACTCGATTAAAAGTAGCTATACTACAAGTAACAAGAAACAAATAGATACTTTGACATCATCACTTTAACGAAGAAAAAATTCATAGACCAATCTTCAAATTCATTTTTATTTGATATATGATGTAAATTGTTACAAATTGTCACATAAAAACCATTTTGAATCGCACTTAGGATAAATAACTTTGACCCGGCTACTAGATATAAGTGATGATGATATTACATACAGGTTAGACAGAGTCAACAATAATGTACTCAATAAAAAATTATATTAAGTAAGAATTCAATATACATGTAAGCGCATTACATATCAGTATACACTCTCCAGAAAAGAGTTGATTGATAATGCTATAAGTGTTTATAGGTATATATATATATATATATATATATATATATATATATATATATATATATATATATATATATATATATATATATATATATCAGTGCTTGAAGTCACTAACTTCTAGTCTGAGCCATGTTGGTAGATGCAGACTACTTGGTTGGGGTCCGCTTGACTTTCGTAACCAATGGTTGGAGACTCTTGGTGACATGGCTCAGAATCGATCACAATGACATCGGTGTATACACTCTCTATCTTCCCTTAAACTAAGAGACTAAAATTGCTTCATATCTCCCTTTCTACGAACTAATTCTTTCTTCCTGTACTATATCCTTATGGCAATCTTGCTCCAATATACTACCACCTTTGACCTAACCACTCGTATGAATCCGGTGTTCATCTTGCTGTGCTAATGAGGTATGGCAACCTGGACCGATGCACATATGTGCCTGGTCCTACGTGGTAGCTGACTGACTGACTGATATATATATGGATAACTACCGCGTTACTCCTAAATTACAGTACTGTCTACCACAGAAGTAGGTTCAAAAAAGGATAAAAGAGGTGAAACTAGGATATGATATCAGTTCACCAAATCATTAAATATAGTTCTGAGCCATGTGTCAGTACATTTAGGTATCCTAGTTCATTTTTGAGCAATAGCTGTAATCTGTGTTGAAGGTTTTACATGACATGGTTCTGTATTAAAAACAATCAAGCTTGACAGACTACCTTCTAGAATTGTTCAGCTTTTGATAATCGTAAATTTTCGAGTTTAGAAACCGGTTAACAATTTGGTATCACATGAGTTATGTATATGAGGTTTTACTAATATTATCAAAACCTCCATTCAAATGATTTACGTTCATACATTAAGTGAATGGGATGGTATTATCTTACTCCCAAAATCGAAATACCCATCTTTTTTTAATACAGTGAAATTAAAATAAGTAGACTATTCATATAAACGAACTCACTTCTTCAACTATACTCTTGATAAGCGCATTCGCTTCACGTAGATCAGCTGGGTTACGACTACGAAGTAATTGGGTTAAACGCTGCAGCAAAAAAAGGAAAATTTTAAAATTCATTTTATTTAGTTATAAATTTAAGCGTAGTAAATTGATTCAATCATTTGATTCTTAATTTTTTAGGTTGTAAATATGAATCACGCTCAATCCATTTCATTTTCGAGCACTCAATTAGTGTCAATAAACTTCGCAAAACATTAGTTATATGATACTTGACTAATTGAAAATGTGTCAACTTCATAAGTCTAAAACATGACTGGACTATTCCCAATTAAATACACATTCACAAGCGTTCTTATTATTATTATTGAATTAAATGGTTTTATGTTTTAGAATGATAAGTTTTATTCTAACAATGAAAGTGGAGGTGAGAACTACCAACTATCGAAAACAAGAGCTATAGATTTTGGGCAATCATTCAAAGAACTAACAAATACACAGTTCAATATTGTTATATACAAATATAACTCAATAAAGAAAAAACCAATCAATGAACTATCTATGAGAGATATCGTTACTTTCAGTCACAGAGATATTATGATGGAAATTCTATTATGATAGCAGAGAATGAAACAGTAGTGCAAAATTTTTAGCAACCATTATGAGAACAGTGTCAGACAGTCAGCTACAATATAGGATCAGGCACATATATGTATCGGTCCAAGTCGACACGCTTCATTAGCACAAAAAGATGAACACAAAATTCATAGAAGTAGTTAATTCAATGGTAGAAATGTAAGATAGCGATTGCATATGAGGATATAATACAGGAAGAAGGGATTAGTTTGTAGAAAGACAGATATAAAACAATTTTAATCTCGGAGTTTAAATGAAGACAGAGAATGTATACACTGACGCCATTGTGATCGATTCTAAGCCATGTCATTCAGAGTCTCCAACTATTGATTACGACAGTCACGTGGACCCCAACCAAGTAATCTGCACCTACCAACATGGCTAGGACTAGAAGTTAGTGACTTCACGGACTGATGCCATGTTGTGGTTTGGCCGCCTCTAACATTCTTCCAACCGTCCTCAGCATTAATCAGTATTGCGCGTCGTGCTAGTCAGTGTTCAGGCATACGTAACACGTGACCGAACCATATCAGTCGATGAAGATTCACAACCTCATCAATTGATTTACCATCATTCAATGTGAAAACTCAAAACCAGGTGAATTGAATATTGAGTTATTGAAACATCTATTTTTTCTAGTTGAAAAACATGGTTAAATTTATAAACTCAGCTAAGATAGTAAAAGGCCTCATATATAAACATTATATATCTGCTTATTACTTTGGAAACAATTTAATGTTTCGTCACATGTTGTCAAACCTACATGAGAACCAAATATTTAACACATTTTATCATCCTGATAGTTGTGGATTTTTTTTCAACTCAATCAAAAGATCATTGTGGAGAAAAAGATTGTAAGAAATAAAACAACTCCCTCAAGACTTATCGATTTTCAATGTAAGCAAAATCAAAAAGAGGGTTGAACAGTAGACAAACTAGGGATGGGACAATTGTGTCAAGGTTGTATTTGGCTTAGTAATATGTGGAAATGTCTTTTTTATGTGAGCCGTATTTTCCAATCTAAATAATTACCTTCAAAAGAAAAGGTTTAACTCAGTATTTTTGAGAAAAAATTAGCCTACATTTCGCGCCAGTAAGACGGTTTCAGTTGATCGAAGGAAGAAAGGCACGGTATTCATTAAACTGAAAAATATATGAAACAAGTTAAAGGTCCCACTGTCTAACTAATGTTGCCAAAGAAGGATCGTTTTGTGGGCGGAGATGGTATCAAGTCCAAAAACTAGGCTTAACAGTCATGTATTGATTAACTAGGAAACGAGCAAACTATACGCTCATTTCCTCCGATCAGTCGACATTTCATTATGTTTATTTTGTGCTTGTTTTCAGTACAGAAGCACGTTATTTCATTGCAGAAAAACCTATTCATCTGGCTAATGATTTTGTTCTTAACATCAAAATATTCAAAGCTTTGAGTAAATGATATGGTCCGAAAGCAGCCATCACTCAGTCACATCATATTACTGTGCTTATCTATCGATTACCATTCTAGTCATTGGCTTTAAAAAAATCGAACTTTTTGTCTTTTTTTCACAAATAACACTTACCTCTGATTTTTTGTTACGTTCAAAAATATTTTGCCTATTTTCAGCGGCTGAAGAGCCTGAGCGACAAACCTGCAAACAAAGAGAACGAAACGAAAATATTACATGAGTAAAAAAGAGATAATGTACCGTACGTTACTCTTTATATTAGAAATAAAGTGTCACTAGACGCTTAAATGCAGCTTGGGAACAGTTAATCTAATAAAACCAAGCAAGTTTGGATCTTGGCTACGGATCTGTTGACCAAACCTTTACCCTTAGGTAGATCCTAGAAAACAGATAGATACCGCCGTCCAAATGTAATCATATTCCCCCACCTAGAGACAGCATTCAACTCTGTTAGCTGAGGAGTCCTGGTACGGCGGATATAAGCCTGAAGGAATTTTACTCAAATACTATTCGTCGACTGAGATTTAGTGAAGAGCAATATGAAATAGCCACATCATATGGCATATGCCCGGGTAGCTCACTGTCTCCACTTTTAGTTAATTCTGTTATACATATTATGCCATAAATTATCGACTCAAAAATCCAATTAATTGGTTTGTGATACCTAACTCCTAACCAGTTCTCGTGTCACTCAAATAAATCAGTTCAAAATACGAGTCATAAAGTCAAGTCTGATACTAATATATACCAGTTCTAGCCTTTACAAATTTCACAATCGTCTCACAGTTACGAGAAAGTCAAAGGGGAGAAAGTAATGACGTTAGTAGTTGTAAAATAAAAATAAACAGAAATATATTGGAACAAACAGATGAAATTGGAGCACGGAAAATATGAAGTAATCGAATGTCCGGCGCTTTAATCCAGCCGATGGACACGGTGAGTTCACTAAGGGGAGTTGGGAAACCCTGATTCCGAACCAAGGGTACACATGGGTTCCAGTATCCTGAGGGAACAAATGGCGTATGAACGTATTGTTGGTCACCGGCTACCATGGGACTACATCTCCTCACGATGCTCCACTGCCTTGTGGGTAAGACCTTTAGGTCAAAGGCTCTGAGTGTGGTCCCCTTAAGAAAACCACCTGCTTCAATTCGGGCACCCGGGGAGTATCACAGACCACATATAAATTAGAATGAAATGACAATATTTAATAGAAATACTATTCTTGTTCCAATTAAAATTCATACGACTCATATCCATTTGATAACATTCACTTTTATTTTTTATATACTATGTCACTTATATACTCTCTTTTATTCCCACTTTGTGTATCCATATTTTTTAACTTATACAGCAGCTCGCCTATGGTGGAAACTCTTTAGACGAATCTCTGTGTTTGATCATCGTTGTCCTCGAAGGATTGCTGACATCCAGTGGCAACATCACGTTAGTAATGCAGAGGTTCGGCATCGTGTGTTCGGGCGCAGAGACGATAATACAATCGATGTTACTATCTTGAAACATCGACTTCAGTGGCTTGGACATGTTCTACGAATGTCGTCCCAGAGAATTCCACGTCGTGCATTATTTGCCGACTCTGGGACTGGTTGGAAAAACGGAAAGGTGGTCAGTGTATGACATGGTGTCGTAGTATGAAAGAAAGCTGCAAAGGGCTGGCTTCTGTTGGTCCTCCACGACTCCTTGGTTGAGGTCCGAGAGGTGGTGCAACACAGTGGCTAGAAACGTTATCAGATATGGCTCAGAATAGAAGCCAGTAGCGATCCTACTGCAACCTTTCCTTTCTTTCTTCATAAAAAATGGTTTTAACTTCCTTAACTAAAAGAATTCCTTCTGGTTGTACCTTTCCGTTTCCCCCATCATTATTATTGTTATTTCACTACCATACATTATTCTGTGGTCGTTAGTGTTCTCGCTTTTTTTTCTTATACGCACCTTACATTCTTTTTCTCTTCCCATTCTCATTGTGTTGTGTAGCGCATATATATCTGGTGCCCCCTTGTACCAGTACTTATGTGTTCAAACAATCGAACGTTAATTTAGTTAACTTATCTAACAAGCAACAGTTCATACTGATTAGCTTTAAGTTGGACTTCCTGTTCGATGAAGATACCCAAGAATCCAAACAGAAAAAGGTGGATCATATATTTAAATCTTAAATCCTATATGGAATAACTTGATCATGTCAAGGTTAAGATCATCTAATTAAAAGCAATCATATTGCTTAGAGAGAATCTTAAGTGAATAACGTTCAACATTATCGATAATTTTATCACCTAAAACAGTACCATGTTGATACATGCACAAAAATTCACTAAATGACACACAAACACGTCAGCTATTCCAGACAAATGTGAAATCCCATCACAATTGTCACTACTTTATACTGTTATATTGATAAGTCCTACTTATTTTAACAATAATACATCTGAATAAGTGAAGAAGAAAAAGAAGGTCAATAATATTGAATTAATAAGACATAAAAACTATAGAAGTCGCCGAATATCTTAAGAACAAATTGTTTGTCAAAAAAATCATTTAGAATATTGTCAATAAATTAATTCCATACCTTCACCGAAGTAGTAATCATTTTACCAATTTTAAACATTTTACAAAATGTGTGTTTAGGAAGATATAGTATATATAGTTTATTTTAAAAAATTGTATTTAACATATTCCTTGGAGTAAATGAACAAAGTTATTACCATGAGCAATAACAATTCGAAATATAATAACTGATACTTTGACAATACTTTTCAATCACCCAATTCAATGTTGAGTTGAAACTGTCATTGGGTCAGTTTTATTTAGTGTAGAATCTAGCGTACACATTGGTATGATTTCTCTTATTACAACCCAGCTATTTCTATTGCTTGGTATTCTTGGACATCAATTCACTCGATAAGTCCCCAAATCAAAATACGGTTGAACAGCAACGAAATTATATTCCAAATAACAAGGGCAGATGGAAGTAAGAATCACAATCAGAAAAAAGTTAGTATATTTGTAGTTTTTACATGAAAAGATTCTAGAGTCTTCTCTAAGTATCCACTAACGCTGATTTGGTAAGAAATAGTCAATCAGTGTGAACCAACAAAATCCTGCACGGAATGTGCTTTTATCTAATCTATATTCCGCTAACATACATACATCAACCTAACTCGCCACACTACTGAGGTTAAATCATCAAGGCGATTACTATCGTAGTAGAAGTACCAGTAGTATCAAGGATAGTAAAAAAACGATTGGACAGAAAATATTATTCAGAAAAGAATGGATTCCCCGAGTAAAAGGTACGAAGTTAATTTAAAACTCAGGATCTAAAGAGTGGATACATCTGTACTCTTGAGGTAGAACCTCAGTTACATCACATTTCACCAATCATTAGTTACGATAATCACGCGCAAACCAACTAGATAGTCTGAACCTACCTAAGTGAATGTTGTTAGTAATGAAGAGATTTGGCAATGTATGTTTTGAAGCAGAAACGATAATTCAATTGGTGTCACCATCTCCAAACATCGACTTCGGTGTCTTGGATATGTACTAAGAATGTCGCACATTATTTACTGACGCCGAGACTGATTGAAAAAAGTGATGTGATCAGTGTCGGACATGCTGTCGTAGTTCGAATGACAGCTGTACGGAACGGGCTTCTGTTGATCCTTAACGATTTCCTAGTTGGGGTTCTAGAGATAGTGCAACACCGGCTTTAAATGTTATTAGAAATTGCTCAGAATAGAAGCCAATGGTAAACCTGCTTTAACTTGTTTTTACTTTCTTTACATAAGTGAGAGGAACTTTAATTGAAATTCTTCCCGGTTGTATTTTTCCCAAATGAACTGCTTCTCTAGTTATTGTTATTATTTCACTCCCATACACTAACTTCTATTCGCTTTTGTCCATTTTTCTATTTTATTGATCATCCTTTCTCTATCTCTCCACAACCTTGTTTTTATTGTGTGGCACATAGATTTTGGTGACCCTTGTACCAATATTTTGGTCTGAACGAATATAAATTAGACACCTATAACTGAATAATAGTACCCTACAAATATCCTAGACTCCCGATGACCATGTTACACGCTAATGAAGCAGATCAGAGAGAACTGCTGAGCAATAAATTCGGTTTTTGGTTGACGGACAAATACTTTGATTATGCCACAAGTGGTGCACGTTGGCAAAAGTCAATCAGGCTTTCTAATTCCGTGCCACAATTTGTCAGACACTAGCCCATCTAGACTGAAGAGACTCCCAAGATAAGTCGAGCGGTCGATACGCCCAACTACTTCACTTCCTACCAATAATCTAGTAGCTGAGCCAGGTTGGTCCTAAAACAATGTTTTACATTTGAATGGAGAGAATGAGGTCTGATATTGTCAAAAGACCGCATTTTTCCAGTTTTCTCCAAAAAAACTACATCCAATAATTTTACATTACGATTTTAGTTTGAAAGATAGTGAATATTACCTCTGAAACGGAGTCAGTAGAAACTATCTGACTTGCAGTTATGATACCTTCTCGAACAAGCATGTTGTATGCCTCAGCAAACTTCGGTTCATTTGGTGAGAAATCACGTTGCCAATTATGAAGCAACTGAGCACATTTGTTTTTTACACATGAAGATGTCTGGTCACCAAGATACTAAAAAGTAAAAAACCAGAAGTTGTAGAAATGTGAAATGTGTACTGACTGAAATTTTAGTTATAAACAAAGGGAATTTAAAACGCAAAAGTTCGCAGTATTTAAAGTCATATAACAAAGTATAAAAGAACACATGTTAAACCAGGTGATAGTTTACATTGAAAATTAACGATAAACGAAAGTAAGGGTCGTTTACATTATCAAATATTAAAACAGCACACGGAAGGGAATTGAATAGAAAACAATCGAAAAATATACGGAGAACGCCGGATAATTTCAAATAAGACAGTTGATCTTGAAGGATAGATGAAACCAAAACTTATAGAACGAGAAAAAGTGAACTGCTATCCAGTACGACTAACCGTAAGAAGACAATCGAGTATTACAAGTGCCGTAATTCAGCAGAATATAAAGGTCCATCATATCATTCAGGACGTTTCATCGGCATCTAATTCAACAGGTTTTAAAAGACTTTCACAAGAGAGAGGCAGTCAACCTACAAAACTATTGAAGTAATAATAAATATGGATTCGGACAAAAACATTTCACAGGACTTATTCAAGAGTTCTAGTGTTAGGTGAGTCTATTATTGCCGTTTGTAAAAGAACTGGCGAAAAATATCATACCACTTTTTTTAAAAATGGAAATTAAGGCTGAAATTTTACTACAACTGACTATGAAAGGACAATAACATAGAAGAAGCTTCGATATGTTCAGACCCACACATGGGAAAAATAGTGCGATCTATAAATGCTGTTCTCTCACATGGCAGATTTCATAAAAATCTCGTAATTTTCAACTTTACCTTGGGCGAGAGAACTTTTATTAGTTCGTTGAGAAACTTGAACTTTCCAAGTTCGGAAATAAATGTTGGACCACAACGCTTGGATAAAAACTCTAACAGCTAAAACTTATAAAAGAGCGATAACTATTACCATTAAAGAGCTTAGAGCTTCTTTTTCATGTGGAGACTTAATTTTATGGGCAAGAAGTCGGAGAGTAAAGATTGGACCATTAGGTTGAGTATCAATCAGCTTTGCAATTTCATTCACGGTGTCAGAGTCATACTGATCTGATATCGGGTTTGTAGCTTTACCTATAATAAAGTTTTGCGTAAAGAGAAAGACTCGATACTAACTTAATAACTTCTCCAGCTCATTCATTACCACTAGTCTTTTTACAAGAGCCGCACTAACTCAAATTTTCCGCCGAGCTTTCAGAACCCAAACTTCAACCTTTGAAATTTCAGTTTGGAAACAGTAAACTGCTTGTACTTTGGACGCTTCATTCTGATAATATTATGTCGTTCATCAATAAAAATAAGTATTGTTATTGTCTGAATCCTCCATAGTTATGAAATGATAAAAGCACTAGGAAGTAGCAAGAAGACACGAAGCTACTCCCTAAAACGTCAATGGAGTATTTATTGCATCAAAGAATATTTGTTCGAAGTTAACTGAATTTATTTCATCTGCGGTTTGAAATTTTCTTCAAACCCCTTTTGTCCTACCCTTTTTAGTTGATTATCACACTAGTGAGGTTCAAAATAGTGATTAATCCACGAAAGTCACAAAGTAAGTCAATATTTAAACTAAGCGTAGTTGAAAAAAGTTGGATCTCGTCGAACATTGTCGCGAGAGATTGGCTTGAATCAATCGACTATAATCCAAAATAAACAAAGAAAAGTTCCTAGTAGATGACAGGAAGAAAATGATATCAAGACTTTCAAAGGAGTCAAATCCGTTTCTATTCTAATTATCTGCAATTTGAAGGAGTCTAGAGAAAATGACCCCGCTCAAGGGCATGTACACGACTTTGGTTCAGTGTTGACTTTACCATCCAAAATATACCGCTAGAAGAGGCTTTAGGGTGCATAACACTGAAGTAATACGACTCAGTAAGCGGGTTGGATGTGAAACACGACCGAGAAGAATCCTGAAGTTCTTACTGGGAAATTACGAAGAAAGAGACGTTATAACGAATGACGCAAAAGAACTCTTGATTTGAATATTCGTATCCTATCAGATTGGGAACCGAATTAAATGGAAAAATGCCTTTACTGACTTAAAAACTCGGGAGCGTACAGGCAAAACAAACATTTCCATTGAGGGTTCTTGGGGTAAAAAGTTTCTGAAGTCGGTGTTCCCGAGACTTGTGTGGGAAGAATAAGTTATTCTCACGACACCTTCAATGGGTGCTACACAAGCGCTGGTATTATTCGAAATGAAACGTCCGAGTAAATTTTGATGGTGGATGAATTAAGTACCGATATAACTGTTATCACAAAAACGTGGATTTGGTTAAAAATAAACTGCTTTTCACTTATTTCGAGTTAAATCTGTAATAGAAGTGATAGAATTACAAATCACGTGGGAGGTGACATAATATTATGTTACAGTTTATTTACGCGTACAGTCGAGCACGTAAGATACGCATGATAGTGGTACGTATGAGGTAGTTTGTTGTACAATAAAATCTAGACACGTGTTAGCGGTTATAGGAGGGATACAACGTAGTTCACCATGGTTAGAGCCGTACCACTCATCAAAGAAACATAATAGCCGTGCATGTCCAAAAAGATTGTTTTCGTACCTTAAATGAGGGACAAATAGTAGTGATAGTATTCCTCTATTACTATTGGGCGAAAATACAAATGTACCAGCACAGTCAAACCTGATCACCAGAGTTTACTCTACGGGTGTTGTAAATATTGCTTATCATAACGACACCACTGACATACCAGCTATAGGGCCTGTACGTTTAAACGAGGAAGCTATTCGTCAACTGATCACTAACCTTAGATCCATTCAGACCTGGGGTCATTAAAGGTGACATCCGTAATTGCTGTCATATTTCACAAACATTATTTCACGACCACCCACCACACCATTCAACATATCCCATTCCTACAGTCAACAGCCAAGAGATTGGTCTTATGTTTAAGTGTGAAAAGAGACAAGTTGTGTCTAAATACTGACTTGTCAATTTGACCGGCATGAAAATTAAGTTAAGTGAAAAAAATTATTCTAGTTGAGTCAATTAGTCGCATAGAATCATACGATCATCTATCTTCCGAGCAACATAAGATTCGAAATAAGTGTTAGATCCCAACGAAGAATAAATGGACGCTAACTGCTAGGAGCTATATATAAAGTGCATGCATATACTTAATGGGTAACTGTTAAGTAACTATAATATATACATTTATATTGCCTTTATCATTATATTTCATTTTACCTAATAACTATATTACACGATTTGCCGTTCTTAAGTTTTTCCCTCTTTATTAAACACAGACTCCAACAATTACAGCTACATTGTTTTTTTTATTTTATGGTTTATTGAGGTCTGATTTGTTTGTATATAAGCCCATACAGTGTAAGCTGAGTTTGTTTTCGTAATACTTTGGATGGATTGGTTAAGAATTGACCGTAAACATTTACGTAGGCATCATAACATTATAGCTTAAGTATTCACTCACTTCCTTACTTTGTATAGGAATTGTTTTTCCTGATATTTAATGTTGAAAAGCTCTGTGTATTTGAAGTGATAACCTCGATTTCAACTACATCTTCCAGGGCTTAAAAATAAAGAACTACTCTATAAAACATTTGTTACATATTCTAGACTCAAACACAAACATTTGGACGGGAAGAACTGATAAGGACTAAGAGTTGACACTAAGTTTCTCGTCGTTGGTTTGGCACAGTGCAAAGGTTACACAGGCCATATTTTAAGTGGTGATCTGTTCACGCGATAATTCACAGGGCGAAACTCATAACAATAAGCATCTATGCTTAACGAGCTTACTTATTTTGAGAGAATTAAACAATATCACAAACAGTTGTCTGTCTCATAGATTTTAGCAGACCATTTGATAAAGATTTTCATTTGGGTTATATACAGAAGTTCCCAAGCTCCAGAATAACAGGTGCTGTATAGGAATTGATAATATACTTCCTCTGCGGCCGACAACTTAGAGTGGAAGTAAGAGGAACACTATCTGCATGAGGGCCGGTTGGAAATGGTGAACCCAACGCACAATCTCAGGTTCCCTAACACTCCTTCTCTATGCCAGTGACTTATCGCGACTGCTTAAGTCATCAACATTATGGTTTGTATATGTCGAAATCTGTAGAACAACAAATGGTGAGCCTGATAAGTTGCCTTTAAACTGACGTGGACGACTTAGTTATACGGTCGCAAAATTGAGACTTGGAAGTTAATTCTAGGAAGAGCGTGCTCATGCACATGCAGCACGGTAATAGTTATAAGTATACCACCAATGGCATTTCGCTTCTGCGTGTGCAGATACATAAAGACTTGGGAGTAGTAGTTAGTCACGACTTGGAAACAACTGCGCATTGGGACGCAGCAGCCGCAAAAGGCTTTCGAAAGTCATAGTCACTGCTCCAAGCATTCAGATACCCTGAAAAGTAGAAGTTTGGACTTTTATATCTCACCTATGTAAGACCACACCTAGAGAACTGTATCCCAGAAGACAATTTATGTCATATTAAACAAATCAGCACATTGGAAAAATTAGTAAAGTACCTTGTAGCGTGGCGTCGAGTCGAGATTGACCATGTACACCACTACCAAGAAGCTCGTTCCAAATGACTCCATAAAAACCCCGAGAAGCCAAATATCAGAAGGCAATTAATGAACCAAATCGAGATGTATTTGCTGGCGATCACGTGGCATCGAAAGGATACCGAGATCGTGCCAGGATAGAAGCTTGGTTACAGAAGGTAACCGAATTCGCGCGAAGTTACAATCGAAGTGTGTGGACAAGAATGGAAGCCCAATATATCTGTCATTAGCACAGTAAAAAAAAGCACATTAAAACAAACACTGGTACACCTGTTTATAATAATAATTGTTTTTATTGAACCAGTCGTGTTCTTGTAATAAACGTGAGTCACTACAACCTTTCGAAAGTTTTTGATGATGAGCACTTAAAACACACGAACCTTCCCACCTTACCATATCGTAAACCGCGGGGTGTACTTATATTGGCAATGCGAATTTTTAATAGCGATTTAGGTCTAATCCCTTTGCTCTGTCCAGCAGTAATCATATTCAAAAACATAGCAAGAAGGTTTGAAACCCGTGACCAATGAGATTATGACTTACGGACGTACCAATCAGATTCACGATGACAAGTTTCAAATTTTGGGGCGAAATTCATCTAAGCATATGTCTGACTAGTGGTGAAAACCCCAAATCTAGCACTTAACCCTTACTATCAACTGTGAATCATAATTCTAATTTGTCACAGCGATTTATAACCCTAGGTCACTTTAGCATCGCTCAAATGTCCTCCGTAAACTATGCTCTCATCCACGTACTATCAGATCCACCAGTGAATATTTTCAAGGAGAAGCTGGATCTAACTTGAAAAAGCTTCAAGGATTAATAAAGGACAGCCGGCTTGTCAATTCGGTATACGCAATATCGTGAGGTCTGAATTTTTATAAGTAGTAGGGTACGAAACTTCGGCTTACAGGAAAGTTTCTAGATCCTTTAACTTGTTCGAAAAATATGGATTTGAATTCCTACATCAGCCGGCTTACAAACTTCATGCTTTTAGTTAAACTCATTTCCACTCGACTGCAAACAACTGATGTTTCTCTTCAACCTGTCTCAAGATTTCGTTCACATGTTTTCGTACACCACAGCTCATCACTCCAACCTGCCGGAACTGAGTACAAAGAACCCCAAAAAGTCGTAAAGATAAAATTGGCGTGGATTAGTTAAAGGTCAATTACTATGAGCGTAAAACCTTTGTTAATCTCATGCCAAAAGATCGAACGATACAGCCTACAAAACTTCAAAGTCCTCCCCAAAGGTGTACGACCATAATGAGATGCACCTATAATCTGAAAACCAGGGGGACACGACGTGGTGGTGGGAGGGCCTAAGGTCTCTAAAGAGGCTACGACGTTTAGGACATTCTACAAGGATACTAATTGTTATCTAATTTCCTGCGTTTTAGCATAAATTTGTCGCATTTTTAACTTCTGCCGCATCGGAAAGTTAAAAGTAGTTTTTTTCAAATGCATTCATCTACATATTATTAAGAAACAAATAAAGGTACACTGACATGCTTATCCATGTACTTATTGTTTTTTTTTAACAAAAATTCATCAAAATAAATTTTAGACATAGCATCTCCTAAAGAATGAATACATTTTA